GCATTTCATAGTGTCTGTTATTATAATGCTTCTAGAAACCATTTTCTCAATAAATGCTTTTCAGTGACTGCTTTTGATTGCTTTATAGCTTCAAGGTTAAATGAAGTAAAGGAAATATCAGCTATGTAGATTTATCTTCACATGAAAACAGCATTTCTGATGATATAAAGGAGACAACTTTGATTCGTAGCTTTTCAAATATAAAGAGGAAACATATTGGATAGTAAATCATACATGAAAATACATCTTGTAGAGTTCAAGAAGGATTTTTTTTTTAAATGAATAGTGCTGATTCTGGAAGTAATCAAATTGCAACAAGTATTGAGCTAGCACTGTCATACTATTCTGAAGTCTTACAGTGTAACCGTGTTATATGTGTACTTCTAGAATATACTGCGAGGGTAAGCAGACCTTCCTGCAGGACTGTGAGGATGATGGGGAGACAGCCGCTGGCGGACGTCTTCTCCATCTCATGGAGGTAGGTGCAAGAACACTTGAATCTTGTTCTGGCTGAGCCATAGAATTTCTCGACGGAACAGAGCTCCACTTAGGGATAAGTAAATCAGTTAAGCAGTATAACATAATTTTACTTAATTTACTTCATAGTTAATTTTTAACATTGAGCGAAAATTTTAGCCACTGGATATGGAGTAGAAAGCAAATGATTAATAACAAATGCTTATGTTTTCAAGACATAGACAATAGAAGATTGGCTTCAACTTTGGGAAAACTTCTCTTTGATTTTTTGACAGTTTCCTCCTCTGTCTTTTTTTGTTGTTGTTCTATCTTTGTGGAACTTGTTAGTTGAATATTGGAACTTCTGTATAGATCCACAGTTTTTAAAAATTAAGTTGTCCATTTCATAGTGTTTATGTTCTGAGCCATTTTGGTTGTCTTCCAAAATTTATGTAGAATTTTTGAATTTTTTCAGCAATCATGTGTTTCATTTTTAGGAGTTTTTAAAAATTGTTCTTCATTTTCACTTTTTCATAGAATCCTATTCTGGTTTCCTAGGTGCAATATCTTCTGGAATTTCTGTGTTTATATTAATCAGAGTTTCTTTTTCCAGATGGTTTGCCTTAAATTTTTCCCGGTCCATTTTAGTTTATCTTGTCCTTTCTCTTTCATGCTGCTGGATTTGCTTCATCTGTCTGGTGATAATTGATTGTCTATTAATTTTAAGAATGGATTATTTTTGCCCTAAGGTAGTTACTATGGTTTCTTCTGCTATTTTATGTGGAGCTTTGTTTTCTCACTAGAATTTTCCTTTGAATAGGAACTCTAATAAATGTGAGTCAGGCCTGCATACCAGTGGCCTTCATTTTAAGGGCAGTCTTTGGTAAATGTCAAATGCATGAAGACCTCACTAGTAGGCAACAGTGATTACTCTTGAAGACCCTATTTTCGCCTAATAATTTGTTTAGGAGCAGATTTTTGTTGTTGTTGTTGTTTGGCCTGGTGGTAAAAGGCTGCTTAGACTGAGTTGTTCTGATTGGAGTCACCAAGAACTAGAACCCTCCTGCATGAACTCCCCTTCATTCTGCAGGTTGCCCTGAATGTGGAATTTGAGGACACTGGGACACAGTGTTGGTTTCCAAATTCCCTCCTTCTCTAATATTTTACTCCCTGAATTTTTAGTAATCTCACTCAGTGCGTACTCATATGGTTCTGCCACTTAAGTCACTGGGAAATTTTATGTGCAATTTTATATATGGGTTACTTCATTCTCCTTTAAAACTTATATTTATACATGTTTATCTATCTATTTATGCTTCTGAAAATAACAGATTTTGGATGTGAGGAATGTCATGGTGGTAGTGTCACGTTGGTATGGAGGGATTCTGCTAGGACCAGATCGCTTCAAACATATCAACAACTGTGCCAGAAACATACTAGTGGAGAAGAACTACACAAGTTCACCTGTAAGTGACTGATGATACTATATTGAGAGACTTTCTTGTCACTGCCTATGAAATTACAAAAAGAAAATTAAGACTGAATCAGAGTGTGTGTAGTGCATTAGTTAAACCTTTGGATTAGGACGCTTGATGGTCAGGCCGTGGTCAAAAATGTGACTGGAAGTCATGTGACCTTGGGCACATCACTTCATCACTTCATTTGTATCCTGCTGTCACAAGTTTATAGAGTTTATATTAGAAAAACCTCTAAAGACCACCTAGTTTCTACTGCCTGCAGTTGAGGCCCAGAGAGAGTGTAGCTGGTGTTACACAGGATAAATTCTAGAATTTTCTGCTGTTAGTGTCAAAACATCTTCCCTTCTCCTGACATGCCTTTAGATACTTTCTTTATACATTGAGTTTATTTTGTCTTATGTTTGAACCATGCTCATATCTACTTTATTTAAATTTTACTGCCTCGAGAAATGGAGATTAAATAATACTGAAATTGTTTAAGTATAATTCTACTAGGTAAGTGTTTTTCTTAATTATCCTTGATTATCTTGAAAATACTGTGATAGACTATAAGTGAGAGTGCTATTTAAGACACAAAGATGACACATGTAAAAGTAATTACACTCTCATCATTATATATAGAGTTTACAAGCCTCTGTGTTCATATGAATGGGGAGATACTGTATTGATTTGTGGTTTTTTTTTTTCAGGAGGAATCATCTAAGGGTTTGGGAAAGAACAAAAAAGTAAAAAAGGACAAGAAGAGGAGTGAACATTAATACTTGAAACTACGCAAAAGATTACTCTGCCTACCATTACATATACATTCTGTAGTCATCAAGGAATATATTGTGCAGAGAGTGTATCTTTGACTGCTCCACTCAGCCAGTTCATTGTGGACACCAGCATTATCTTTTCTTCTTTGGTTACATCATCTGCCAAAAATAGAGAAGCTATGATATATTCATATGTGTTGTGGGCTTATTTGGGAAAATCAGTTTGAACCTAGTCACTGTTTCATCTAATTTTAGGAAGGTAGCAGTTGCCCAGGGCAGTACCTGAATTAACTGTCCTTTTCAGTACATGCCAAGTGCCTTTGTTAGGTGGGGAAGAAATGTCTCCTGAGGAAAATAAGTACCTGATTTTTTTGTCATAGAGATTCTCATACTGCTAAATGAATATTGCCTTTTACTGCTCTTTATGGTTTATTGGAATAGGAGCTCATTAAAGATTTATCTTTGAGAGTTTTTTCTTGCAATTTTAGTTCGTAAGTATGTCACTTTTCACTTTATAGTGTTCATCATTGAGTAATAGAGGAAGTAAAAATCCGAGTATCCATCTGCAGTTCTTTGCTGAGCTGGTACTTCATCTCCCTACCATATTTGTTAGCCTAAGTGTTATGCCTCAGTTTCTGTTACAAATTTGTAATTATGAAATAGCTAGAAGTGGTTTTCTAGTCTCTTTTTTTGTTTAATTCTTGTAAAGTAAAACAGTGAATATGAAGTATCAGTACGCTTCTTCCACCCCGACATGTGTTCATATAATATTCTGGTCTCTTGTAACAACCTGAAGTACTTTTCTTGTGATCGTTATTGAGGAATTAGAACATAGCTGTGGTTAATGGGACATTTGTAGAGGTGGCAGAATGACACTGGTATAGGACAAGAGTTTGTTGGCTGGCTTTCTCCAGTCCATAATTTTGAAGAGAAGAGGAGTGCATCTCTTGATTGGAAAAATAAAGAAATCCTTTTTTTCACCTCATCTACAAGTTACTTCTGTGCCTTTAGGTCATAAATTAACCTCCGAGATATAATAAGTTATGAACTGTTTCCTTTCACAGATGATTGCAAATCATTTTTAAAGGTTACCAATTGATCACAGATTTGTCTGAGATTCTCTTCTCAAAGAAGGGAACAGTAATTAGGAGGCAGTTTTGAGATGGCCCTGGAGCATGGGAAACAGTACAGGTTGGGTAAATATTATTCCTCTTTTTTTCCTATATTTTATCTTTAAAAGATCCAACATCTTTACTTCGTTTTGTTTTGTTTTGTTTTTTGGTACCAGGGATCAGACTTGGGACCTTCCGCTTGCAAGGCAGGCAGCGGACCCACTAAGCTAAATCTGCGGCCCTTTACTTGGTATTTTTAATAAGAATCTAATAGGTTTACATGACAATTTATTTTGAGGCATGTAATCTTTTCAGCATTTAAAATTGCAAATTATTAAAGCCGTAGGATGACCTGTTTGGAGCACTTACTTAGTTTCTATTAAATGTTAAATATGTGCTGCATATTAACTGTTAATTCAAGAAGTTAGAGGACATTTACTAACATTAAAATAATCTCACAATCTTGGCTTTTCAAATGTGTGATGAGTGATAGAAAACAGTAAGAATTTGATGATGCAGAAAAAGAAATACAAGTTAATTTTCTGCCACATCAAAAATTTTTTCTTGCTGTTTTATCTAACATTGGAATCCTTACAGAAAACAAAACACCATTTATATCTATAATCTCATTTTTCCTTACTTAAAAAAATCTTACTTTTTGCTTCTTTTTATAAAGTTACTAACCATATTTTCTGAATTAAAAATTACTTTCCTTTGCCCCAAAGTCAGTTAGCTGGTAAGCGAGAGTCAAAATTCTCCAGTTCCGAACCCTGAGTTATTTCATTCTCTGCCACTTGTCGAAACCCTAGCTAAGGACAGTCCGGTTTTTTTCTGTGTAAAATTTCTCTGAAATAGAATATTTCTCGATCCTCCAAATAATAATTTTCTATAACCAGATCTATCCTGTGACATATTTTATCATATGCTATATTAGTTATAAATACTCTCCATATGTCAGAATATAAAAGCAAGTAGAATCTACTTTTTAAGTGGGAGCAGCAACGGCTGCATCAAAGGTACGCCGTGGAGTATGTGTCCTAAAGTAGCCTAGTTGAAGAGAATTTATCACACTCTGTAACCAAGGAAGAACAGCGTGACACAGACTGTTTGTAGGGCGAGTGAAACTTACTGGGAAAAGTACATAATCATCTCTAATTCCACTGTAGAGATAACCATTATAAACCTTTGGTATGTACATTTATTATTTTTTGTATGCATGATTTTGTATATATGGCTATTTTTCTTTCCACAAAAATGGTATTAGACTGTATATACTGTTTTGTATCCTACATATTTCATATAGAAGTATATTGTTAGCATTTTTCCATGTCAATAAATATTCTTCTATGGCTTAACTTCTCATGGCTGCATTGTATTCTCTCTTGGGCAATATACTCATACCCCAGTTATTTTCAGCTTTTAAGTTTTGTTTCTGATTTTTATTTTTTAATTAAAAGTTTTATTGGTATGTTTGCCATACATAATATATTCATATCATGCCTTCATCCGTTTTTCTTCCCCTTCCCCTATCCACCTTCTCAACTGCCCCATACCCAGATCCGATTCCCATCTCCACAAAGTCTGTCTCCCTGTTTTCCTGTCATCTCCTATATCACATGCTCTTTACCCGTTTGCCTGTTGGTGGGCGTATAGGCCACTTCCATAATTTAGCTATGAGGAGTTGTGCCGTTAGGAACAAGGGTATACATGTATCACTATAATATGATGGTGTTAACTCTTCTGGGAAGATACCCAGAAGAGGTACAGCAGGGTCGAATGGAATTTCTGTTTTTAGCTTTTTGAAGAATCTCCATACTGGTTTCCATAGTGGTTGTACTAGTTTACATTCTCACCAACAGTACCAACAGTGTAGAAGAGTTTCTTTTTCTCCACAACCTTGTAGCATTTATTATTTTTTGAGGTCTTAATGATAGAAATTCTTTTTGGAGTAAGATGGAATCTGAGTTGTTTGATTTGCATTTTTTTGTTGTTTCTTTTAAAGGGGAAAGGTTTATTTGGCTTACAGTTCGTAGAGGTTTTAGTCCGTAATCAGCTGGCTCCAAGGGGGCCACAGTTCATAGCGGCAGAAGACAGCAAAAGCAACAAGAGCTGATTTGCATTTTTTTTTTTTAATGCCAAAAGATGCCAAATATTTTTTCATGTACCTACTGGCCATTTGCACTTCTTTTAAGAAGTGTCTGTTTCAATTTCCCATATTTTTGGATTGAGTTTTTTGCTTTTGGAGGTCTAATTTTTTTTTAGTTCCATATATATTGTAGGTATTAGTCTTCTATCTGAGGGGTAGCTGACAAAAAATTTTTTCCATTTTGCTGGTTGTCTCTTTACTCTGCTGTTTGTTTCCTTTGGTGTGCAGAAGTTTTAAAATTTGATATAATCCCATTTGTTGCTTTTTGGTGTTATTTCTTGTGCAATTGGGGTTCTGTTCAGAAAGTTTTTGCTTGTGCCTATATCTTTAAGAGTTTTACCTATTTTATTTTCCAGCAGATTCAGTGTTTCTGTTTTTCTATATAGGTCTTTGATACATTTTTATTTGATTTTAGTATGGGGTGAGAGAGTTGGCTCTGTATTCACTCTTCTGTGTCTGAATAGCAAGGTTTCCCAACACCATTTGTTAAAGAAGTTATGGTTTCTCCTGTTTCTGCTCCCATTGTTGAAGATCATGTTACTGAATGTGTCTGGGATTGTTTCTACATTCTCTGTTCTATTCCATTGACCTACATGTCTATTTTTGTGCCAATACCATGCTTTTTAAAAAATAACAGTAACTTTGTAATATAACTTGAAATTCGGGATCACTTTGGTCTTGTTGCTCAGGATTGATTTTGGTCTTCTTGGTCTTTTCTGGTTCTGTATAAATTTTAGGTTTATTTCTTCTAGTTCTGTGAAGAATGCTGCTGTTATTTTGATTGGAATTGCATTAAATTTATATATCATTTTTGGTAATATGGCCCTTTTGGCAATATTGGTTCTGCCTATCCAGGAATATCTGTTTTCTGTTGTCCTCTTCCATGTCTTTTTTCAGAACACTGTAGTTTTCATTGTAGAGGTCTTTTGCTTTCTTGGGTCAATTCCAAGATATTTCTCCCTTTTTTTTGAAGTTATTGTGAATGGGAATGTTTTCCAGATTTCTTGCTGGGTTCATTATTGGTGTACAATTTGTAAGTGTTTTCCAACTTTTCACTATTACAAAAGAATGAGAAAAACTGCATCATTGTGTACAGATTTGGTACATATTTCTATCGTCTTAGGAAAAGTTAGAAATTGAATTTCTTGGTCAAAAGTTAACATTCTAATACCTCTTGATTGGTTTAGCCAAATTTCTTTCTAGAAAAGTTTTATTAAGTATGTCTGTATTAGTATTATATTAGAATATATTTCAGATTCCAGTAAAAACTACAGGACTGTAAGCAGTCCGGTAGGTAAATTTCCAATTTCTAGTTTAAAAATTAATCTCTTTTTAAGTAACTGTAGAATCAAACAAAGTTGTAAAAATAGTAGAGAGGTCTTACATATCCATAATCCAGCCTCCCCTAGCAATAACATTTTATAGTGCTATACAGTATACTTTTAAAACCAGGAGATAAAATTCCTTACATGATTTATGGATGTTTTTCTCCTAGTCTAAAGCTCGTCTTTTTATTTGCTTAGAAAAGTCTTTTGTAGAATAAAGTTAATTTTTTTTTCAATACTGAGGACAGAATTCAGGAATGTTCTACCACTGAGCTATAACTCAGCCATTTAAAAAAATTTATTTTGAGACACATCTTGCCATGCTGCCCATTCAGGCCTTGAACTTTTGGTCCTCTTGCCTGAGCTTCCTGAGTTGCTGGGATTAAAGGTGTGTGCTGCTGCTCCTGGCTTGAAGTTGCTAATTTTGATGTAATAACAATTCATCTTTTTAAAAAAATATTGTTTTTGCTGTCATGACCCAAAACTGCTTAATCCTAGCCCATGAAGATTTTCTTCTTTTCTCTTTTTAGTTACATAGTTTGATGTTTTTCATTCAGATCTATGCATTTTTAGTTTCTGTATAAGGTGTGAGATTTATTTGCATGTGGAGGTCCCATTATGGAAGTAACTGATTTTTTTAAATTGAATGTTTTATTAGTAATTTTTCAGAAAGTAAATACAAGTCTGTAACTAGCATTTAGAAATAAAAAACAGTACTGCCACCTCCCAATTCCCTGATTCTTCTCTCGTCCTTATCTGCTTCCCTCCCTGCAAGTAACCCCTTCCTGATTTCTGACACCAGGGATTGATTTGATCTTTCTTGATGAGCACAAAAGTGGAATGGCACAGTACTCTTGTTTTATTTCATTTTGTTCCAACATTTTGATG